TTTTAGCAATGTGACATATCTCACATTGTAAACACAAATATAAAAAGTATGCTATTTGAATCACTTCACTATGAACCAATTCCACATTCAAAAAGTGAACCGTTGAACCACCCGGAATGTCTCGGCTCACCGGTTCAACCGGTTTTGGACCGGTTCGAATGGATTTTGACCGATTCGGAAGCTAGGCGGTTTGATTGAGCAAACCGGACCGAAATGAAGACCGGTTTTTGGTCCAACCGGTTGAACCAGCCGGTCCGGTCCGGTTCTCAGAACAATGCATAATAATATCCCCTTTATAATTCTATCATTTTTTACCTTAATTTTTTATTTTATAAAATTTATTATAGTTATAAAATTTCAAGTTCTTGTGGTGGTGGTCTTGGTGGTCGTGTCGGTGATCTGCCACAACAAAAGCGTAAAAATGTAGGCGAATCTTCTTTGAGTAGACCTCTATTGCCGACATCGAGATAGACGGTATACCGAGACACTCTGGGTATTCCCGATGATGTTGATCCCGCTTACTTATTCATGTCGTTGTCCGCAGGAAATGAAACAATAGCGAAGACTTTGTAAAGAAAAAAGTATAACACCTGAAAAATTCTAACCGGACGTTTTAACCCGTTGGAACTCAACGTATAAAATGTTAATAAAAACGTTTACATTTGCTTATCAATTAGATGAATTTTTCAAAAATCCTCAACGTAAAGATTGTGATGTCATCGTTGCAGCCACTGATTGGTTAGATTGTCAAACACTTTTGAAATTTTTGGAAACATTTCAAGATGCTAGTAACCTACTTTCTAATTTTTACTATCACTTTGCTCAACTTGTTGTAAGTCAATGATGTAGCCGTAATGTGGGGTTTTAGAGATGTTTTTGCTAGTCATCCTGACAAACACGACGAACTTCTAAGAGATAAGTTAAAAAAGTGGTTAAAATATTATTTTTTTTCATTCCTGATATATTTGTAGTTGCATATTTGTTAGATCCGTCATTATGTGATATCAAGTTGTTCAACCAAATTCACACATATTATGATATTATGTATCAACTTCCACTTCCTACTGATGTATCGACTATCATGGTAAGACCTAACCCACGACAGCTCATCGAGCAAACAAAACTTTTATTGTACGAATTGTTTAAATATCAATCAGGAAAATAAGAATTAAATTATATAGTGAACCGTAGTTAAAAAAAATTATGAAATGAAGAAATTTAGCTTGAAAAGGAGGAAGAGTTTGGGATATATCCTAGACAAATCCTTCCTAATTTTCCAACTCCATTTTCTTAAAATCAAAATAACCATGTAATTTAAGAGCATTTCCAATAGTCTTTTCATTGGTCTACTTTGTTGCCACATGCACAAATAATTTTATGTGACATGAAAAATGTCTAGAAGACTTTCTAGATGTAGAAATCCTTGTACTATATAATAAATTATTTATTCAATTTGTCTCTTCTCTCCAACCAAACAATTTTACACATCACAAATGATACCACAATTAACATTAACCATTGAAGACGCAATGTTTTTAATTTTCTTTCTGCATGCCATACAATACAAAATGGACAATGTTCCATTGGAGATGCTGTAAACAGATCAAAATCAAACTGCATGAATATGTATGTACAAAGATGGGACTATAAAATACGGGACCCACTTGAAAAGAAACTCAATAAAAACCCGGGAAATTCGAAACAATGGCACTAGTCAGAATTGTCTTCCGCCAATGCACATACCTTTGTTGTTCTTTGAAGATTTTCTTGTAAAATCTCTCAAGTTTCTTTTGCAACTCTTGAAATAATTATTGCGTTTGTGCATCCTTGCAACATTCTTCTCTTAACTTCTTCTATCCGTGAATTGGTAATGTTGATATACTTGTGGAAATATTGACTCCTTCTGCAATGACTTCCCCAACTCATGTGATGATAATCATCTCTATCACGTAGTCGTAAATTTCACATAAAAAAATTGGCAGAGTAATGTATTACTTGACGATGATGCCATTGTGGCGGAGCCACCAGTATGGCGAGGCATGGCGACCGCCATACCTGGCCGCCGGCGAACACCCCCCCACCCCCCAGTTCTGTGAGTGTCCAAACGAGGATCGATCGGAATCTTGACGGAGGTTGCCGGAGAGTTCATAAGGGTTCTGCTGATTTCGCCCAAATTCGTGAGTCTTCGAGACCCTAATTTTTTGTTCTAAAAGTTTTTCCCCTTCTTGGCTTCTTACGGTCATATTAGTGAAGGAAAGACGTGTTATTGGCTTGAATTGCTCGAAGCTGAACTCTTTGCTCTTAAAAGTCGAGGGGAAAAACTGGGAAGCTTTTTGATGAATTTGATTTGTTTTGGCAGCTGGGTAGCTAAGAATTAGGGGTTCAGTATGTGGGGAATAATGAGATCTTTCATGGAGTTTGCTGTTGGCTGAAGTTCATACTTGTTATTAACTCAAACGTATGGTTGAGGAATTTGAGTTTTTTCTTTTTATTTTGTTCTTGAGGTTTAATTTTACAACAGTGAGTTTAATTTTAATTTTCCTCTTCTCATTTTAATTTTATTCATATAATATTCAATCATTTTATGATTAGATTTGTAGACAAGTTATGATGGGCAAATGCAAATTCGAATCGATAAGTTCGAAAAAAAGAAAAAAAAAAGGAAGAGAAATTTACAAAATCTCTCGTCGGATTGATGGATAGGTACATAAAACCTACCGCTCTTGTAGTAAAAGTGAAAGTGTTTGGTCCTACTAAACTCAATTTTGCTAGGGAACCAGATGGTTTGTTCTATAAGGGAACCAACCATCTGATTTTATAGAAAAACTGCTACTAAAATTGTGCTAGAATTATGGGCCACCCTTACAAAAATTGTCTAGGGCCTCAATAACAGTTATATTTATGAAGTTATTTATAGATTAATAATTAATATCTCCTTTATGTATATAGATATATCTTAGTATCGAATGTTAAAAGTCATGGGGAGCGCAATCTTTATTTATTTCTTTCATAACTCAATAACAGTTACGGATGAGTGTGGTACGGGACGGTCCAGGATTTGACCTATCCCTGTACCTGTCACGTTTTTATGAACCGGTCCAGGCGAGCCACCGTCCCAAACGGATTGATATCAATTGAGGCCGGGACAAAACGAATCAAAAAAAAAAAAAAAAAAATACTCAACCAAGTACAGATTTGATTTGAGGATTTGGTTGGGAATGAGAATGTGAAATTGTTTGGAAATGAGAATTGTGAAAAGTGAAATTCACAGTTCTAACTTCAACCCACGGTCCACACAATAATGCCTCATTGCCTTCTTAGTTTACTTATACATTTGGGTCAAATAAATGGGTAATGGTTTAGTTTTTTCTTTTTTATATTTTTGAGTCAGAAGATTGTAATTTAACAGTTACAAATGCAAAACTTGAACGGAAGCAACAAGTTAAAAAACTATTATTGATTATTTACTATAATACTAACATAAAGATAATAATAATGTATAACATATATATACATATAATATTTTTGTACAAAAAAAATAAAACAGGACTGTTCGAGACAAAAATATTCAAAACTAATACCGACACTGTTTCAAATGATTTGGTACAGAGAACGGTACGAAAGTTAAAAACCCATTTAGAACCCTATTTTTTAAAACGGGACCATTTCGGTCCGGTTCTGTAAGGTGGCCGTCCCGCTCCACCGGTTGACTCGTACGCAGCGGAAGCTCGTCT